TAAAATCAGTTGAGTTGAGTTTCAAATTGGAGTCAGAGGTGACATTTTTCCTATTATTGTTAACAAGTTTCCACATAGCCTGTTGAGGGTTACTGGAGTCCCTTATAAACTCATCATTCGCTTTAATTTTAGCTAACCTAACACATCTTTTGTAACTCCTTCTGTATTCAGTTATGGTATTTTTAGGCATGGCAACAGGATCCCTCCTATTCAAAATTATCATAATTTGCAGTCTACTACGCATTTCCTTCAGATCATCATTGAACCAGTTTAATTTTTTAGTAGAATTTTTTCTATTGATTAATTTTGATTTTTCAGGAAAAGAAATATTTATAAAATTTTTCAACATGTCAACTAGCATATTGAATTTTAAGTCAATATCCAAATTATCATCAGTAATGAAATCAAAATTACAGCCAAGCATACTTTGGCATAATTTGGAGAGACCATCCTCTGTTATTGGCCTATAACATATTCTGGTTTGAGAGATCATAAAAGAATAATTTGTTTCAAAGAAAATACCCTTATGGTCTGAAATATGAGTAAGATCTACCGGTTTTGTAATACCATCAATGTTTGTGAAGATGTTATGCGTGGATATTTATCTCTGGTCTTGTTCCAGACACGAAAGCTGATGATGTGATTGCCTTTCTTAATAAGTACAAGTTGGATGAAGATTGTTTGTGTGAAAAAATGGTCACCAAAAAGGATCGTTTTTAAAGCTCATTCAAGGTGGGTGTCCCTCAACTGAACAGGGAGGCGGTGATGTCTCCTAATTTATGGCCTCTTGGAGCAACCATCAACCATTTTCTTCGCATTCAACGCCCACTGTCTACCAAGAACTGACAGCTGAGGACTCCAAAGGACAAATTGACAGAGTCGCTTTAACACGAAGGAAAGCAGCGTCAAAAGGAAATCTCAGAAGCAACGAATCTTTAAAAATAATCCATTATAATGTTCAATGTTTGCGTACCTCTTTTTTAGATTTTGAAGTGCTCCTCAATGAAATCTCAGCAGATTGTTTATGTTTAAATGAGCACTGGCTGGTGCCAGAGGAGTTGAACACTATTCCCATTAAAAATTACAATATGGTATCTGGATTTTGCAGAACAGTCAAGTCTCATGGTGGTGTAGGTATCTATATCAGAGATAATTTAATTTGTGACAAAAAAGACAAAAACAGTTACAAAAAAGACAAAATGACACAAGAAAATAAAGCCACCATAAAATGCCTCACTTCCATATAACCATGCATATAAATATTTTTCGAAAATGAAACGTATTTTTCTTTGCTTTGTGCAATTACATCTATTTTATCACCATGGCAGCATAGTTCTTTGATAAACATATGGCTATCAAAACCGGTCAAATTGTGGTATATTATTGGTATATGTGTGGTATTTTCTAATTCAAATTACACAAATGTGCAGCAGTTTATCGTATTTTGCTCGTTATGGGGCAGTGATCTATAACATTTACATCATCCTGTTTAAAGCACTTCCAAGAAAGTTCAATGGATGATCCTATCAGAAGGTTTGCTCCCAACAGTACAAGTGGTATCAAGATTTTTTTAATGTAAAGTGTTAAAGAGAACAAGAGAATTAATTTAATTATTTTTTTAAGTTACAATTCCATTGAATAATCTTATTTCCATTATTTAATATCACTATATTGCATTGCCTATAGCATTATCTATGGTGTTAATTTTTATTATGTTATATGTATAAGATATTACACATTTTTAATTTATTATTGCAATTTAATTATTATTATATTTAAAGGCAATTTGTTTTCATATCTTCATTTTCTTTAAATTTAACGCTGGGGAAATGTTAACGCTCCAGGACCGGGGGAAATAACAAGAACAAAAATTTTAAGATTTATCATTAAATTAAATCACTCAATATATTAAATAAAATATATTTCTATAAACAGATTATATAAATAATAAAAATTAAACTAGTTGACGTCACACTAACATCTGAAGGCGAACTTTGTTGAATTCTTATTTTGATAAATATCATTATGTAGAACAATATAAAGGAACAACATAGAAGAATGAAATCAAGACGTCACTAGTCGTCTTTAAACTCAATACATTCATTTTTAAGACACTCTGTATGCATAAATAAAATTATTAATTTTTTTAAATATTAGTCGTAAACTAGTGAGAAGGAAATCAGACAACGAATAGAGACGATAGGTGTTAAAAAGCTTTTAAACTACCATTCGAGACACATTGATGTTATTTTTGGTTTGCAAATTTTTGTTATTGGGTTAAAAGAAGGTTATTAAAGGTAAAGTAAATGTTTCCTCATTACTTAACCAGGCAGGGTACGGCACTCCTTTCATTTCATTTAATAAAATAAGTAGAGCTATTTACAAATTTAGCGTTTGATTTACCTAACCTATCCTCCTCAAATTTCCCAAAATATTGCTTCTGTCGAGCGCATCCGAGGTAATCACAATAAAAATATTTTTAACACAACGTAGGTTCCCTTATTTCATTTAAATTGTTTTTTAAACAGCTGGCCAAAATATTACCTCTTCAACTTTGTTAAACGAACATGGGTTGTAATACTACACTACTTTACAACTACATCGGCTGACATAACCTCAAGTGAAAAATTGCCACCATCAGGTGTTGAGGTGTCGAGAGCTTGAAATTGACATTGAGATTTATCATTTATCATCGTTTCTAGAAGAGCCATATACTGAAGAAGCTACAGAGCCATCAGTTGACATTACCCTGTAGATTGGTACGATTGTGAAATAGACTATAAAAAATGAAGGGGATTGAGAGAAAGTACATCTAGCCATTTAAGGAAATAGATCTGAGTTTTGAAACAGATCTAAGTTTCAGAAATTGGGATAAAACTCGATACAATCCTAAAGCTATACTCATCACCATCACAACATAGATTACTAATTTTCTCACCAAAATGTCTTCCTAAAAACAAGACACAAGAAAATATTTCAATAGATTTCAATTTTATTAGCCGTAACCCCCCTGACATTGCTACAATTATATATTCTACAAGGAGTTTCATAGTTTTAACACATTATATAGGTACCAACATTTGATATTAATATATGTATTTATGTTTTAGATGGGAAAGGCAAAGTTATATATAGTATTTGTCTAGGTGTAAAAAGTCTTACACCCAATCAAAGAGCACATAATATTTGCTGCGATTTAAATGAAATGTTTCAAAAATGGAGCATTAACTAAATGAAATTAGTGTCTGCAACAACAGGCAATGGTGCCAACATCGTTGCAGGCATAAAGCTGTTACTAAATGGTGATATTCAGTATCTACCGTGTTTTGCACAATGCATAAGTTTGGTGGTAACAAAATCCCTAGGAGCTGTTAAAGAAATGAAAGTTTCTATGAGATGGAATTCTAGATTCTATTGCTTCGAAAGGTTCCTGCTTTTGTCTGGACATAAAAAAATTAATTTTCAAATATTTTTAACACCCGCGCATAAAAAGGCTCCAATAATGTTGACTTCTAAAGGTACATTCAGGCTGAGAGCGTCGAGCGTGGCGTCGCGTTTGCGTCGCGTCCGCCCCATTGAACTCGAACCCCGACACTCAGCGGACGCTAGCGCAACGCCAAACGCGACGATGTCTGCCTGAACGGTTTAATTTAAGTTAAGTGAATTGATTCCATTTCGACACGCGGACGCGACGCTCTACGCTCTCAGCCTGGATGTACCTTATTTAATAATAAGAGTGTTTATCATTACTGAAGACATATGAGTCAGCTACAAGAGATATATCTGGTGTAACTTATGTATATGGAGCTTTAGTATTACCACTAGTAAACTGCATAAAAACGTGCATACATAGAGTCAATGTTTCTCAAGATCTATGCCAAATATTTAAGAAAGAACTACAGAACCAAACTGAGAAATATCTTGATACTCTGGAGAAAAAATATGTCTATCTAAACATGAAATTATGTTTAGATCAACCAGTTATTCCAAAAACTCCGACCTAATTGTTAATAAAATGTGGAGTAATAAAATCATTAGGGGGGGGGGGCGGGGGCATAATGAAAGTTATTTTGGAAACACTCTATTGATGCGCGAGTATCTACACGCTTTTCTTCATTTGAGAAATTCATATTTACAATTTTTGTTTATTTTAATTTACAAAGTTTGTATGTGACAGCTTCACATTTCTGAGAGTAACGGCGATTGAACTTGTTTCCATGGCTAACTAGGGTAATTCCGGGAGAGATGGCTCACATTTTTTTAAACCCTTCTAACAAAAAAAAAACAACAAGATATCTTTCTTAAACTTATTTATTTATGTTTCAAACGTGAGTATAGATAGAATAATAAACAGTTCATGTCAAAAATAAAAACGGTTTTTTCAAAAAAAAATAAAAGTCAAAATGAATACCTGGGCCAACTCACCCGGTACTTAAGGGTTAGATGGCTCAATGGGTATGGGATAGATGGCTCAGTGATAAATGTCCCTTATTCATTTTTTTTCTTGCTTAAAACCTTACCACAGGGGTTACATATATTCACAAAGTTTGAGCAAGTTTCGTGACACCAATTTTTGCAATATACACATTGAATCCAGTCATCTTTTTTCACTGTTGTTTTGTAGGGTTCACCGCAACCTACACATTCTACATCTTCCTCTTCTAAAGGGCTATCGCCGGATTCTTGAAGCTCAAAGTCGGTATCTTCATCTGTTGAGGAATATTCGTTTCTCTTGATTTCATTTTCTGTGATTTCCTTTCTACATTTTTCTTTGTAACTTTTTTTTTGAATGTTTGCCTCCTTTCTTTTGCTTCCTTATTTAACTGAGCCGACTTTTTTTTCTCAATATGTTCAGGAGACGTTAGAACAGTTCCAACTTGTCTTCCACGTTTTCTGACATTATTCACAGAAATGGAGGAAGTGCTAGGAACAGGGTGCATTTTAGCCAACATCTCCCTAAAAAAGTTATAAGAAAATTTTAACGATTATTAAAAATTTATTTAGTTAACTTTACCAGGTGTATCGCCATCTGAAGAACTATCTTTGGCAGCAATGGGTTGATTTCCATTATTGACCGTACTGACATTGGTCCTAGTTTCTTGTGATGATGGTCCTGGATTTTCCAAATGCTCAGGAGTCTCGCTGAGATTATCAATTTTGCGTTTTTCCAGATGGTCGTTCTCGTTGTCATTTAAATAAGCATAATTAGGTATTGCCTCGGGGTTAAACGGACAAATGCCTGTGGATTTAAAAGCAGAGACAGCGTTTTCTATTGTGGCTGATTTAGACCAAGCATCGGCCAGTAATTCTCCAAAATTAAGCCTTGATATTTTTCTCGTTGGGTTTGCTCGCACATATCTGTTACACGCAGAATTAAAGTAAGCCTTAAGACTTTTAAAAAAACTTCTATCGAGTGGTTGCAGAAATTGGGTGGTGTGGCTAGGAAGGCAAAACAATAATACCTGATGTTCTTCGGCGTATTCAAGCATTTCAGGCGAATTGCAATGGCTAGCATGACCATCTAACATTAAAATAACTTTTCCTTCAGGCTTCCTTGGAACAAAATGGTTCTTTAGCCAAGTAAACATTAATTCAGTGCTAATGTAAGCCGACTTCTTATTCATATACACAACAGAACCCGGTGGCATACCATCTTCAAATTCTTTTTTTTTATTTTGGCCCTTGAAAATACATGCCGGTGGGAGAAAAAAACCCTCAGCATTACAGCAGGAAATAATAGTTATAGTTTCACCTTTTTCCGAAGACGTAATGGCTGCTACATTCTTTGAACCTTTCTTTGCAATAACGTATCCTGGTTTGTTATTTAGTTGGAGTCCCGTCTCATCCATATTAAACAAATGCCCTGGTTTACCCATTATGTCAGCTTCCTCCAGTACGTTTTGCAGAAGAGTAAAATAAGATGAAACCTCGGTCTTGTTCATCCCTTGGCAACGGGCTAATGAAACACCCTCTGCTTTTCGAACACTTAAGTCAGGATTACGTTTAAGGAACATATTCAACCAATCGTAACCAGCAAGTCCCTTTTCTCTATTAAATGTATGTTTAATATTTAGTTGCTCTGCTAAATTAAAAGCCATAGCTCTAACACAATCTCTAGTCGGAGCGAAACCATGTTTTTCTAATTTTTGAATATGATTTTTTAATTTTAGCTCATTTTCACTTCCGAGAATTGATGGTGGCCCCAAGCCTTTTCTTGAAAAATCATTATTTTTTAGCCGTCTCCGAAATGTAGGTGGGGGGATTTTAAAATTACGGCAAGCTTCCCGTACTCCCATTTGGCCTGTTCTGACTGCTTCAGCTGCCCTTCGTAAGTCTTCTTCTGACCATTGATGCCTTTCTACGTTTCTTTTCCATCGATACTCGGTCGGCATGACTCTGTAAATAAATAAGTAAATAATTATTATTTTTCTCATATACTGTCCTGCAAACCTGACCTAACCTAAAAAAGTATATTTTTACAAATGGGACAACTAGTCTTAGCAGGGCAGTATGGGAGAGATGGCTCACGAGCCATCTATACCACAACATTACTGGGCCATCTATCCCAATAGTGCGGGAGAGATGGCCCACCTGATAATTTTCTAAGTCGATGTAAACGCAGCTACATGCCTATAAAAACATAACCTCAACATACTAATGAATTAAATTTATGTAAATAACTAAAAAGGAAACAAGTCAGACCTCGAAAATTTCAACTTATTTTAAAGCATAGAAAATTTTTTAACCTTTGGAATAATAAAAAAGCTTATAACTTACCCGTTTTTTAATGAAAATACACCAAACTATAAGCACGAACTACACCATGCGTTTAGTCACACTGTCTACGTTTACATCGATTGGAGAGTCAAGATGCCGAAAATATCTCAATGGGCCATCTAACCCAGAGGGCCGTCTCTCCCGGAATTACCCTAAGTGAAATTGTTTAAAAATGATAAGAATTGGCTATACTCAGTAATTTTTCGAAGAAAACATATTATAGCTTATATCGCTAAAAAGCTTAAAAAAATGCCGCTTTTTATGAAGTCATAGTCAACTATGGTTTCCATTTAAAAAAAACATATGTTTATGTGATATGTCAAAAATGACAGGCTTCAGAAAAAAACAGAGGACACAATCTCATTAAGGATGTGATTATCTACAACTTTTATTTGAAAACTTTTTGTCTAAAATAGCTTATAATGGAATTAGGGACAATTTTTAAAATAACCGGAATTTTTTTCATAAATCTGAAAGGCGCATATTTATGACCCCACAAAACTGCAATTCTTTCCCCATTTAACCGACTCTCTATCTCCAGTAGTTTCCAAGATACCCATAGAGAACATCATAGGAAACTCACCCTGTATATAGTGGGTCTAGAATATGAAGGTATAGGAGGCAGATGGGGCCTAAAATTGCAGACCACGACAATGTTTTTTGATCAAAAAACTATTTGACAGTGGAAACAACCACTGTGTTATACCTTTAGTAGTGGTCCAAACGTGTGGTTTGTCAAATAAAAATAAGTCACAGAAATAGGTCTCACTATCACATGACCCGTTTGTAATCAAGGTAGTCCAAACCAAACAGCGATTAATTCACTAATAAAAGAGACCGAAGAATACTGTAAAAGGGAAAATATTGAAAATAAATATTTTGGTTTTTTTGTGGATGAAATCCATTCGGTTTCCGACCGAAATATTTACCACCCTCAAATTATAAGAAGCGAGTGAAAGCAGCTGAATGGCGTCCTCGTCCAATTTCGTATAATTAATGGACCATGTCAATAATATTACTTATAAATTTATATCATCACAAATACGAATGCAACATCAGAAACCTAAAGCAAGAAGATCTCCTTTAAATGAAAAGTCGATGGACACTGACAGTTCTTAAGGCTAGTGGAAAAGGATATCAGTTACTTAGAAAATGGTTTGGTTTGGTTTGGTTTGGAAGTTCCTACCATCAAAATCAACTTTAGTCCATTTGCTAAATAAAATTCCTTTTTACCAGGCGTAAATAAAAAAATATTTGAAAGCTTGAAACTATCTGTTAGGAAAATGAAAGCAATAGACAGATATGCTGTTCTTTGCTTTGATGAAATGTCTATCGATAGTTCCTTATATTTTAATGCAAAAGAAGACTATATATATAGTGGGTCTAGAATATGAAGGTATAGGAGGGCAAATGGCCTAAAATTGCAGACCACGACAATGTTTTTTTGATCAAAAGACTATTTGACACTGGAAACAACCACTGCTATACTTGTCCAATAAAAATAAGTCAAAGAAATAGGTCTCGCTATCACATGACCCGTTTGTAATCAAGGTAGTCCAAACCAAACAGCGATTAATTCACTAATAAAAGAGACCGAAGAATACTGTAAAAGGAAAATATCGAAAATAACAATTTTGGTTTTTTGGTGGATGAAATCGATAATGTTTCCGACCGAAATATTTACCACCCTCAAATTATAAGAAGCCAGTGAAAGCAGCTGAATGGCGTCCTCGTCCAATTTCGTATAATTAATGGACCATGTCAATAATATTACTTATAAATTTATATCATCACAAATACGAATGCAACATCAGAAACCTAAAGCAAGAAGATCTCCTTTAAATGAAAAGTCGATGGACACTGACAGTTCTTAAGGCTAGTGGAAAGGATATCAGTTACTTAGAAAATGGTTTGGTTTGGTTTGGTTTGGAAGTCTTTACCATCAAAATCAACTTTTAGTCCATTTGCAAAATTCCTTTTACCAGGCGTAAAAATATTTGAAAGCTTGAAACTATCTAGAAAATGAGCAATAGACAGATATGCTGTTCTTTGCTTTGATGAAATGTCTATCGATAGTTCCTTATATTTTAATGCAAAAGAAGACTATATATATAGTGGGTCTAGAATATGAAGGTATAGGAGGGCAGATGTGGCCTAAAATTGCAGACCACGACAATGTTTTTTTTGATCAAAAGACTATTTGACAATGGAAACAACCACTGTGTGTAGTGGAAACAACCACCTTTAGTAGTGGTCAACGTGTGGTTTGTTCAATAAAAATAAGTCAAAGAAATAGGTCTCACTATCACATGACCCGTTTGTAATCAAGGTAGTCCAAACCAAACAGCGATTAATTCACTAATAAAAGAGACCGAAGAATACTGTAAAAGGGAAAATATTGAAAATAAATATTTTGGTTTTTTGGTGGATGAAATCGATAATGTTTCCGACCGAAATATTTACAACCCTCAAATTATAAGAAGCGAGTGAAAGCAGCTGAATGGCGTCCTCGTCCAATTTCGTAAAATGAATGGGCCATGTTAATAATATTACATATGAATTTATATCATCACAAATACCAATCAGAAACCTAAAGCGGGAAGATCTCCTTTAAATGAAAAGTCGATGGACAATGACAGTTCTTAAGGCTAGTGGAAAAGGATATCAGTTACTTAGAAAATGGTTTGGTTTGGTTTGGTTTGGAAGTTCCTTCCATCAAAATCAACTTTAGCCCATTTGCTAAATAAAATTTCTTTTTACCAGGCGTAATTAAAAAAATATTTGAGAGCTTGAAACTATCTGTTAGGAAAATGAAAGCAATAGACAGATATGCTGTTCTTTGCTTTGATGAAATGTCTATCGATAGTTCCTTATATTTTAATGCAAAAGAAGACTATATATATAGTGGGTCTAGAATATGAAGGTATAGGAGGGCAGATGGCCTAAAATTAGAGACTACTTCACAATGTTTTTTTTGATCAAAAGACTATTTGACAATGGAAACAACCACTGTGTGTAGTGGAAACAACCACCTTTAGTAGTGGTCAACGTGTGGTTTGTTCAATAAAAATAAGTCAAAGAAATAGGTCTCACTACCACATGACCCGTTTGTAATCAAGGTAGTCCAAATCAAACAGCGATTAATTCACTAATAAAAGAGACCGAAGAATACTGTAAAAGGGAAAATACTGAAAAGAAATATTTTGGTTTTTTGGTGGATGAAATCGATAATGTTTCCGACCGAAATATTTACCACCCTCAAATTATAAGAAGCGAGTGAAAGCAGCTGAATGGCGTCCTCGTCCAATTTCGTAAAGTTAATGGACCATGTCAATAATATTACTTATAAATTTATATCATCACAAATACGAATGCAACATCAGAAACCTAAAGCGAGAAGATCTCCTTTAAATGAAAAATCGATGGACACTGACAGTTCTTAAGGCTAGTGGAAAAGGATATCGGCTACTTAGAAAATTGTTTGCCCTTCCATCAAAATCAACTTTAGCCCATTTGCTAAATAAAATTCCTTTTTACCAGGCGTAAATAAAAAAATATTTGAGAGCTTGAAACTATCTGTTAGGAAAATGAAAGCAATAGACAGATATGCTGTTCTTTGCTTTGATGAAATGTCTATCGATAGTTCCTTATATTTTAATGCAAAAAAGATACTATATATGTATAGTGGGTCTAGAATATGAAGGTATAGGAGGGCAGATGGCCTAAAATTGCAGACCACGACAATGTTTTTTTTTTATCAAAAGACTATTTGACAGTGGAAATAACCACTGTGTATACCTTTAGTAGTGGTCCAACGTGTGGTTTGTCCAATAAAAATAAGTCAAAGAAATAGGTCTCACTATCCCATGACCCGTTTGTAATCAAGGTAGTCCAAACCAAACACTAATTCACTAATAAAAGAGACCGAAGAAAAAAAGGAAAATATTGAAAATAACTATTTTGGTTTTTTGGTGGATGAAGTCGAAATAATTCCCTTATATAATACACCTCATCTGTTGAAGGATATGCGAACTAATTTGTTAACGAAGGACCTTTATTTTAAAATGAATGGGAAAATCTGTATAGGGAAATGGAACCATATCGAGCAGTTTTAGTTACTTGATACCATGGACCAAGATTGAATTTGCAATTAATTAACAACATGTGTTAAGAAACCAAATTAACAAACTGAAAGTAAAATGTTGCACTCAGGTATTTAGTTACCAAGTAAGAGTGTTGATGAAGAGAATTATTATTAGTTGGAGTAAGTGTAAAAGAGTAATATTTTGGTAGATTTCTTATTCTTTTTTGTTTCAGAATCGCAAGTTCACCAGACCCCGAAGCAGAACTGCGAATTTCATATTATTTCTAGACACACTATTCGACAGCTTAAATTCAAGCAGGGGAATTGGTCCTCCATGAAAACCACTACAAGCAGCTATTACTAGTCTTTCAGGGCATCTAACATTTTGGTATGAATCAGTTGGTTTACATACACTTCTGTACTACAAATTTAGTATACCTAGTTCAGTTAAAACATTAGCTAAAAACAAAAATAACAAAACTTTCAGCGTAAACTTGGAAAGGAAGGTAGGGATAGACACAGATTTGTTCT